CTTACTTAACCTGTTTGTGTTCTCTCATTTTATACAGTATATTGACAGTGCTTAATTGACTGTCTCAAGTCTATTTTTAAGCCCAATTCTCTTTCCTAGTTGTTCGTTTTCATTTAATCATAGAAACTTGGAGCAAGAAGTGATTGTAGAAATTAATTATTCTAAATATCATATTTTTATCTGATGAAATAGAAACATAAATATTTGACTACTTTCCCAAAGTTACATAATTAGTTTTTCCTGTACATAAAAGTACATTTATTTGTATTTACTTTAATAAGAAATTTATAGATGATGTGATCATCTTTTTTCCTTTTATTATTTAGAAGTTGTATATGTATACAAATCTTTCCTTATTTATTACTTATTACAGTTCCAGTTCTTTCCCTTTCTTCCTTGCTTGTTTATCTTTTATTTCAGTTGTCAAGTTGAACTCAGGGACTCAGGACCTCCTACATGCTAGGAAAATATTCTAGCACTAAACTAAAACCCAAGCCCATCTTTATCTTTAAAATATATTCTAAGCTGGGCATAGAGGTGTACCCCTGGAGGATCATTGTGAGTTTAAAGCTAGCCTGGGCTACAAAGTGAGCTTAAGGCCAACCTGAACTGCATAGCGAGACCCTGTCTCAAAAAGACCAATATATATATATATATTAGATAATTATGAGCTCACACATAATTGTAGGAGTAATACAGAAAGACCTTGCGTACTTTTAACCCATTTTTCTCCAGTGGAATTGCTGGCATTTCTATAGCACCATGCTACAATAGGAAAATCACTTTTAAATATGTACTAAGTTTATTCACATTTCATCAGTTCCATTCACATTCATTTGTTTGTGTATTTAGCTATTACTATATACTTTTATTATTTGTGTAGATGAGTATGACAACTATTAATAGTCAAAGTTCCATTGCCAGGATTCCTTGTGCTGCCCCTTTATACATACAGCCACTTCTATTTTAGCTCCTGATCTCTACAAAATAAACTATAACTTTGTCATTTCAAGCTTGCTAAATAAGTATAAAAATACACTGCTCAATCTTTAGAAATTAAATTAGATTTCTTTAAAATCTCGGTATAACTACTTTCATATTCCTTCAAACTGAGGCTTGCATTTTATTTAAGGATTCATATTCTGTGATATGGATGTTCTTTCATTTAAAGTAGAATATATGCTTTCTTCATAGATATCATGTACTCTGAATAAATCTTCAATGATCATTAATGTTTAGGGTTTTTAATGTGAACATGTTTTTAAATCTCTAGGATAAATACCCAAGGACATAATTGCTTGGGTATACATCACTGTATGTTTATTTTACAAGAAACTACAAAATACTTACCAGAAGAGGTACATCTCTTTTATTTCACCATCACCACAACAGAAAAGTTTCTCTTCATCCCATTAGAATTTGGTATATCACTATTTTTTACTTTAGTTATTCTAAGACATATATAGTGATATCTATCCATGAGATCATAATTTACATTTCCTTAATGACTCATGATCCCTTTGTGTGCTTTTTTGTTCTATTTATAACTTTTATGGTGCAAAGTTTATTCAAGTCTTTTGTTATTTTCTGATTGCATTGCTGTTTATTTTACTGTTGGGCTTTCAGAAATTTTTATATTTTCAACATACAAATTTTTTTAGATATGTGATTTGCACACATTTTCTCTTAGTGTGTATTAATATTATTGAAAGAGTTTCACAGAGAAATTTTTCCATTGTTCCTTTTACACATCCTTCTCTTGGGGTCAAAATGAGAACACTTCATTCACGGTGCAGTAGATCCTACATATTTTTCCCCAATGATTTTTGTAAAAAGTTTCATAGCTTTATGTTTTACATTTTAGCCATTTTTTATTTTGCATTTCTTTTTATGTACAAGCCCTACATCTAAGATTTCTTTCTCTATAGATGTCCAATTAATACAATGATATTCGTTCAAACAGCATTCCTCCATTAAACTGCTTTTGCACATTTGTATAAAACCAGTCGGACACACTTGCATGAGTCTATTTCTGGCATCTCTTTTATGTTTTTCCAATGGCCTGCAAACAGCACTTCCTTGGATATTGACCCATTCTTTCAAAACTATTTTAACCATTCCAGTCATTGTGCATTTGCACATAAATCTAAGACATTTGTATATACCTATGAAAAACTTTTCTTCTAATTTTCGTTGAAGTTCCTTTAAACCTATACATCATTTTGGACAGAAGTGACTTGACATCTATACTGTGCTGGCTCCTCCAATTCATGAACAGACCATGTCTGCTGAAGTATTTCATTATGGCTACTTAAAAATCCGTTTCAAATGATTCTAACATCTGATTCATCTCAGTTGTGATATCAGTTAATTGTATTGTCTCATTCAAGTTGTGATTTTTCTTGTTCTTTATATGATGTGATTTGTTTTGTAACTGGTAATTTATATGTGACTAGCTTCCTTTTAAGTTTTCTGACACCTTCAGTGAAAGTGGAGAACTTACTTTCCACATCATTTCCTTAAAATAGTAGTGGAATCTTATCTCACCACTGGGCCCCACTAATACCAAAGATGTAGAGGAAGTTGGGTACCATTTAGTCTCTTTATGTTTTCCATCTTTTAATTTCATTTATGTTGGATAGTGAGTGACACTTTCTGGTTTTCACTAACACTAGGGCCATAGGGAACCAGAGTGTTTGTTAAATAGAACTATTTCACTTCTTTTTTTTTTTTTTTTTGGTTTTTCTCCGGTACCGGGAACCGAACTCACGACCTTGCTCTTGCCAGGCAGGCGCTTTTGCCGCTGAGCTAAATCCCCAGCCCCTCACTTCTACCTTGTTCAGTCTCATTGCTAACTGGTTGATTTGTGGATAGACTGGTAATACAATGGTCACTAGTAATACCTCATACCACCAGATGAATGTGGAGGAAAAGCTCATTATTTGAACTCACGAGGACACCACTTGCTTCTGCCTGGTTGCAGACAGAAAAGCACCTATTTACTCAGCATCTCCAATGTTAATCTGCCGGGATAATCAGAACAATACCTGCTTCTGTCAGGCGGGGCATGGAAGACAGCTCTCTGCTTAGTTCTACCAACACTGCACTATCGGAATAGGAATGTTATTCCTTCTAAATGCAGTGGATAGTACGTTAATCCCTCTCACTTGAGGATGTTAACTAACTTTATTCCCCACCAGAAACCATGCTCCCTATTTCTAAGCATGACACATGCTGTGCCTCCTCCCTCTGTGAGATGAGAAGCAAGAATTCCTTCAAAGCATGTATCAAGGTCCTGCATATGTATGCCCTGTGGGGTAGTCATCTTTCACCTGTCAAGTGCTACTCTGCACTGAAAGACCTTAGTGATCTTGTTCTACAGAGTTATTTTGGGAGATATTAATTGTGGAACATAAAGCATGGCATTTACACATGACTTCTGACTGAATGTGCATAAGGAGGTCATATATATATATATATATATATATATATATATATATATATATAGTTCTACAATCACTATAGTTCTACAAAACTTAGTAATAGCTTTTGCTATATATATTTTTCTTGCTTCCTTGTGGTGCACTACTGGAAAATTATCCTGTCCCCAAAGTCCTTGGCCTAGGAATAATGAATTGGAGAATCCTCACATTTTCTGCCAAAGCAATGATTTAAGAGTATGAGGACTAGCTATTCTATCACTACTTAAAAGGTAATAAAATGTGTAGGCACGCAGGGCTGCTATCTTGCAGCTTTCTGCTGATTTCCTTAGTTCCAGGTGAATTAATTGCCTTTTCACTCATGATGATATGAGGAACAGCGAAGGGTGGAAGAATGAGAGTAAGGATCTAGACCCTCTTGGTTTTATTGCTGTTTTATAAGTGGGCTATAGTGTTAAAGGCTTCTGGGAAATTCTTATTTAATCTTCAGAGCAGTGCTGTGATACTTTGTTTTCTAACTTTCAGGTTTTCTATATAAGCAATCAGAACTCTCACAATCAGAAAAATAATACACACACAGTTTTATTTTTCTGTCTGCAAAGCTGTGACCACATTTTGTTGGAATATTTCAATTTCCAAACATCATGCTTATCTCATGTGCAGATCACCCTGACGTTAAATATTTCTTAAAAACATGCTTTTAACAAACTCAGTAAATCCATATAGGAAGGAAAAATAGTTTCATTATTTATTCTTCTCTTACAGAATATTTAGGATAAAGGATCGTCAAGGAAATGACACAAACAAATACTATGGAAACCTTTGAAAAATCATAGTTTTTAAAGTATTTAATATTCATAAAAATTCTAATGATATAATGAAAGTAGCAAGCTGTGTAAGTATGAAATGCATCCCCAAATCTGTTCACAAGCGAAAATCAGCACGGCTAACATTTTCTTGTATGCCTAAATGATTTCAGATTAAGGTTAGCTTCATCTTTTAGTTCACTGAATTTTTGAAAATCTCCGCAATGTCAATGTATTTCTTTTACATTCAAAATAATTATTAAAAATAATTACCAAAAATGATCAGGTAGAAAATATAAAGAATTTGAATCAAGATGGTGGACCGTGCACGGCCTTTTTCTTCTCTCATATCAAATCCCTTAAACTGAAAGAAACTCATTTGTACGTACATTTTTGTGTAAAAATCATGTCTCTGTCTCTTTCTCTCTCATTGTGCGCTTTGAATTTTTTTAAACACGATTGTGATGAATTCCTGGAAGATAGAAAGCAGATGGAGCCTCTGTGGAGGAGGTTGTTGGGCAGCTGGCAACCAGAGAAGAGGAGGAGGGGAGCCGGTCTGTTTGGCTCAGGTTTGGGAGAAACAGTTGGGGGGCGAAAGAGAAAATAAAGGAGAAAGCTTGTGTCAGTGCGGACCTAACCCAAGCACGCGCGCTGACCCTCCCCGCAGACACCCGCGGAGCGGAAGGCAAGACGGCAGGGGGCGGGGCCGAGGTACCGGCGGGCTCTGAGGGGGCGGGTTCCCTAATCCGCAAAAAACGCGGTTCCAAACTGGCCCAAACCGACTAACGCTGCAAAGGCCAGGCCGCACTAACTCCTCCGAGATCTGCCGCCGCCGCCTGCATCTTTGCCATTGCAGTTCATTTGCGTACCTTCCCAGTCGTCTCCTTTGTCGCCGTGCCGCTACCACAGCAGCATCGACAACAGATAAGTGGCGGATTCAGGAATTTGGGGTTGGGAGTCTGGGCAGGCGCCAGGAACCGACAGCACACAAGAGCCCGCCATCTCTCTCTAGCCACTGCGGCTGCAGTTTCTCTCCCGGTCTGGAGTCCGGTTGAGAGACACACGGTGACCCAGTGCCCACAGTCAGAGTTAAGAGTTTTTCTGTCAATCCTGGTGCAAGCGCTCGGAGAAGGATCTGGTCTCTCAGATCGTGAACAAAATTATAATCTCAATTCGGATAGTGTTGATATTTTTGTCAGCTTAGTTAAGCAAGCGGCAACTTTTGACTAAGCCTTCTTAAGCCCTGAACATGTCTCCGCCAACAGTGCCTCCGACAGGGATAGATGGCGTGTCTGCATACCTGATGAAGAAAAGGCACACCCACAGGAAGCAGCGGCGCAAGCCCACTTTCCTCACTTGCAGGAATATAGTGGGCTGTCGCATTCAGCACGGTTGGAAAGAAGGCAATGAGCCTGTGGAGCAGTGGAAGGGCACCGTGCTCGAGCAGGTTTCTGTGAAGCCCACACTCTACATCATTAAATACGATGGCAAAGACAGCGTGTATGGACTAGAACTACACCGAGATAAGAGAGTTTTAGCGCTAGAGATTCTTCCTGAGAGAGTGCCAGCTCCTCGTATTGATTCACGCTTGGCAGATTCCTTGATTGGGAAGGCAGTGGGGCATGTGTTTGAAGGCGAGCACGGTACAAAAGATGAATGGAAGGGTATGGTGCTGGCGCGAGCCCCCGTGATGGATACTTGGTTTTACATCACCTATGAGAAAGATCCGGTCCTCTATATGTACACCTTGCTGGATGACTACAAAGATGGTGACCTTCGAATCATTCCAGATTCCAGCTACTATTTTCCTACAGCAGAAAGGGAGCCTGGAGAAGTGGTGGACAGCCTCGTGGGCAAGCAGGTGGAGCACGCCAAAGATGACGGGTCCAAGAGAACTGGCATTTTCATCCATCAAGTGGTGGCCAAGCCGTCTGTCTACTTTATTAAGTTTGATGACGATATTCACATTTATGTCTATGGTTTGGTGAAAACCCCGTAAGTTTATTGTGCTCTTTACAGAAGCTGTGGCGTTATTAGATATAAAATATCTTGTTTTCTCATAATTGTAAGTTTTGAGAACAGTTTTGACTCAAAATTCCGGAAAGTAGGTAAATGTTATTGTGCCTCCAAATCTTACATTATCTAATTCCACAGCTCTGGCCCAATATACTGTGATAATTTTGATATATATTCTGTAATTGAAATTTTTAATTGGAGGCTAATAGAAAAATAAAGTGCAACCAATGGAACAATGAAAAAGCAAATCAACTCCACACCATGTCCTTCTTCCCCACGTTTTACTTGCCTCTTTTTCTTCCCAGGTAACAAGTGTTGAAACCATGACACATCTTCCCTCTTTTCTCTGTCCTCGAGGTTTGTTGCAGTAGTTTCTCTAAAAATGGCAAGTTATGAGCATTTATCTAATTGCTTTTCCCACTTTGCATACAGATGATATTCCAACAGACTCAAAGACACAGTCCATGCTTCTGTCTTTGCCACTATCTTTCACTCTTACTCTCCTGCTTACTGTTTCATATACAGTGTATGTAGAAGTGCCAAAAAAGTATTCAACCATTCTGTTATTAATGATTATTTATTTCCTTTTTCCTTATTGTAACAGTGCCAAAGTATGCTGGTTCTTTTAGTTCTATATTCTCAGAACTGCTAAATAGGTATATGTTTAATTTTAAGAAATATTATGAGAATACCTGAAATGAATTCAGGTCTCCCTTTCCAGCATCTTCTACAGCAGTCTTCAACATTTGAAAATCTGAAAAGCAAGAATTACATTGCATTGCTTGTCACTTTAATTGGCTTTTACCAGATTTCAAGAATTATTTTTTTTTCTATTAGGACATTTCACTTTGTGATTTGACTGTGGCTATCCTTTGTTCATTGATCTATTGCATTGTTGATTTTTTCTTATAAATTTGTAGAAATTCCCATTATAAAGTGCATTTAGTCATTTGTAACTCATGTTATGATTTTTTCATTGTAACATTAATCCTGACTTTATTGATGACATGTCTTACTTTATAATTTTAAAATTTTTAGGTGGGCCACTATTTTTTATAGTTTTTTTTTTTTGTTTCTTATCTTTTTCAGATGGATGCCCCTCACTTGTCAAATATTCACCTACATTTTTCTAATCATTTTGTTTTTAAAGTTTAAGTATTTCATCCATATGAAATTTATTTTTATAGAGTTTAAAATAGAGATCCAACTACACATTTTGTTTACATTCATTGGTTATCTGATTTGTACCAATTTTCAAATATCTGAGCCATTATGACATAGATGTAATTATAGTGGCAGATCATAGCTTTTAGAATCTGGTAAAGCAAGCCTTTCATTAATATTTTTTATCATATATTTTTTCCTTAACGTTTATTCTTTCATATGAAAATTCAAAATATTTTTGACATTTAAAAAGTGTCTGATGTCTTAATTAGAGATGCAGTAAATTTTGCATTCTCCTTTCAAGGATTATTTAATAATATTAACCTTTAACATTCAAAAGTTTTGGTACATTATTGAAAATTTTACTCTTGTTTCCGTGCTATTCTTTATATCATATGTACCTGAATTTATTTTGTAATTTTTATACACATCAAATTGTAACATTATTAATTGGACAGTTTTTTCTTTCTCATTTGTAACTTGTTATTTGGGGTAATAAAAGAAACCTATGGAATTTTATATTTTTATCTTTTATCCAATGATTTTTAAATCCTAATTTACCGTAGACATTTAAAATAGAATATTTTGGATTTTCTGGGTATCCAGGTAATCATTCCACATGTAACTTGAGATTATTTTATTTCTTCTAATGTTCATACTGATTATTATATTAGCTGCTTTCTCCAGAACAATGTTGTATAACAATAATGACACACATAACTCTCTTATTTTTATTTCTCATGTAAATGTCTTTGGAATTTCATACTGGTATGATATTTGCTGTTGGTTATTGGTGCATAGTTGCTAACATGTTTAGAAGTTTCTGTTCTTCCTGTTTTACATAGCATTATTAGTAGAAGTGGCTCCTGGATTTTATCAAATGTCTTTTCATAATTATTGTTAAAATTTATCATTTTTCTTTTCCCTTAATTTGTTAATGTACTCATTTAGGGTGGTTGGTATTTGATCTGGAACCAAACATGAATTTCTGAAATAAATTCCACTTGGCCATGGTGAAATAATTATGTTTTACATTGCTAGATTTTATTCACCAATATTTTATTTAGAATTACCTTATTTGCATTCCAAATCAGAATTATTTTTTTCTTATGCTCTGTATATCAATTTTTGTTAAAGTTGTGCTAGCTTTAAAAAATATGACTTGATAAGTTTTCAGTCTTTTCCTGTGAACTGAAATAATTTAAATAACATTAGAATTTTTGTTCTTTAAAAATTATCTAGTAAGAAGCTATAAAACAGTTTAATCCTGGTGACACTTTTGATTATAGATATTTAATCAGTAGTCTGATTTTTTCAATGGCAATTAGTTTATTCAAGTTTTTGTTAAAAAGGAATATATATTTTGTGTGAGATAGAGAGTTCCAGGTTGTTTCTATTATCAAGCTTGTTAACTGTACTCTTCAAATGCTGTAAGTCTTCATGTATTTTATGCTAATTAGATCTGTCCAATTCTAAAAATGTAATAAAATCACAAGTTATGCTTATATTTTAAATTTTTGGTATTCTGTTATTCATTTAAAAATTATAACAAAATATAAGAAAGTATAAAATGTAAGACAAACATTTGTTTACCTACACCCCAAATTTACAAATGTCAACATTTGGCATGTGTGTTTTAGATATAGATTTATACTTTTACATAAACTCATTATAGATAATAAGTCTGTTTTCCACTATCATATTTCTTCCTCTACAGGGGCAGACAATGTCATGGATTTGTTGTGAGTCATGCAATTATTTTATGTATTTACTAAATATATAACCATAACCAATGACAGTATCAATTTTTCTGTTTTCAAAAATATCAACCTGAATAATCAACTTTAAAACATGTGGAATTTATTTTGGGTTATACTGCAGATATCTTTTCCTCTCCAATTGAATTATGTCAAGAAAATAATAAAGAGCACAGACCTTAAAATGTTAACTACTATTTACATTTACTATGCCTGATACCCAGAGTGGCTTGCTCCTAGCCATATCCTTGAGGATTGAATTAAAAACAGAAGAATTTCAATTCATACAGGCTTTACATCCTGGCTAGGCATATATGCTGCACTTGTTCCTGATTTCTAGGCCAGACTCAGAAATGATATTGTTCTTGGATAGTATAATTTTGGGGTTATTCTACATTTTGACACCCAGAAGGACGCTAATGCTAATCCTGATCCTAGCTCTTTTAAAAATTGGGGATATAGCAGTGGAAAAAGCAAAAATCCTCCTCCCTTAGGCAACAACAAATTCTCTTAGACATAGATGTAGATATATAGCTATAGATATATACATATGTGTAGTATCATAGACAAATAATATTACTTTCTAGTTCCTGCTGTCCCAGTGGGCCCCAAGTCATGAACTGTGTGTTTTATTTTCCTTGAGGACACCGAGTGATAGAGTAAAAGAAAAATGCATCCATGACCTAGGCTCTAGAATATAATAGTGAGCTACTAAGAGATTTTTTTTGTTTTTCACTGTATACAAACTGTAGTACATTAACTTTTTACTAAGTTATTTACTTCTTAATAAATTTACTTATCAATTACTTTTTACTTACTATCTTGGAAATTCACACCATTAAAGAATTTTCTTTTTGAAAAGAGACTGATGTAATATAGATATGCCTCAACACTGTTGGCTAAAAGTAACTTGTTTTTTAAAAAAATTCTGAATTTATATCTAACCAAAACATGTTCAGTTTGAAAGCCCAAAACCAAAATAAACAAAATTTGTTTAAGAATTAAAAAAAGAAAAACCTGTTCTCTTAGAGTCTATATTGTAATGGATGAATGGGGACAAGTGTCACAACTCTTAGACCACTGCCCCTCAGGCCTTATGTTGGCTCATAGCAGCTTGGGTGTATACCAAAACCTATAGTTTTTTGCAAGGTTTGAGTCTAGTTTTACGTTTGCTTTAGAAATTTACTATACCTCATTGAGCTAATGGGAACAGTACAGAGAAAATGCACAGAGAATATTTTGTTTACTAACAATGCTTTTACCCCCTACCTTTCGCAGATCCTGAATAAGAAACAAGTTGTACAGCTCCATGGAAATGTTATTTATATTACACAAGTTAACTTTGAGTCAGAGGGAGATTCACTCTTGAATGGGCAGTGAATAGAGGTGTCAAAGTCGCTATTGTCTTGAAGTTTGCATCCCATGGGAGGACACAATCATTCCCTAACCCACAGGCCCCTCAGCCTATACTCAGATCTTAAATTTTAACATGATGATATCATAGTTCTCTCATATCCTGGCACTTAGTCAGAGAGATTCTTTCTAGTGGTTCAGACATTACTATAGGAAGGGAAAATGACCAGAAACAAAGTCCTTCCTCCCATATATTAAAACTTGCTTCATAGAGGCTGAAAATTGATTCCTATGTCTCTCTGCACAGTACTCTATAAATGTATACATCAGTCTGTGATGAATGCTTTGAAAAATAGCAAAGTATGGTAAGTAGACAGAGGCAAGTTTGGATCTTGGTGGTGCTATTTTACATAATGGGCAGAGAAGGCACCTTGATTGATTTCATTTGAATGAGTACCAGAATAAAATGAGAGAGAAAATCCTGTTGCTGAAGCCTTAAGACAAAATGTGCCTAGCTAGAGGTTTCTTGTTAGAGCCAGGTATGACCAGAATGGAAGTGAGCAAGGAAAGGACTGGTAGGAAATGAGGTCAGTACTTAGTTTGGAGCCAGATTTTTGTACCATCTTATGGACTACTGTTAGAAATTTGGATTTTATTGGAGCAGGATGGGAAGTCACCAGTGTTGAGTAAAAATACGGCAATTGTCCTTGTACATTTATTGAATAATCTGATTTGAAAAATCTCTTTCATCATGTAATAAGATCACATTCATGATTGATCAACTTTGTCCCACTGGGCTATGTGCCTTTTTTCCCTTTGAGATCCCTCAATGTCCCATTACCTCTGTTGTATCCATGTCCTGGATCTGCCAAGTAGATGACTCTAACTTTGTGCTTTCTTCAAATCAGGAGCTTGGAGAGATAAATTAAAAATGAACATTAAATCTTCCTTAATTCTAAAACTCCACTGAATGTTCTTTTTATCTTTCCTGGAGATAAGAGAGCCACACATAATAGTTAATTGCTCTAGCACTGAGCTATGGCCACAGCCCTCATTATGTATTCTTGAATGATGTGGTAAGAACGTCAGGAATAGGCAAACAATCCTAGCTGGGAGATTATAGGGGCAATTCAGAGAGAAAGTGTAAAACTCTGTATCATTTATATATATAT